GTTTATTTTTGCTTCTGTTGCTTGTGCTTTTGAGGTCTTACCCAGAAAATCTTTGCCAAGACCAATGTCCCAACTAATGTTTTCTTCTAGTAGTTTCGTAGTTTCAGGCATTAGATTTTAGTATTTAATCAATTTTTATTTGATTTTTGCATATGGTAAAATATTGCAATCTAATTTCATTCTTCTGCATATAGATATCCAGCTTTCTCAGCACCATTTATTAACAAGATTGTCCTTTCCCCAACATACATTCTTGGCACCTTTGTCAAAAATGAGTTGTCTCAAAAAAATTAGCCGGGCATGGCAGTGTGTACCTGTTAGTCCCAGCTGCTAGGGAGGCTGAGGCAGGAGAATGGCGTGAACCCCAGAGGCGGAGCTTGCAGTGAGCTGAGTTTGTGCCACTGCACTCCAGTCGGGGTAACAGAGTAAGACTCTCTCTCTCTCTCTCTCACACACACACACACATATATATACACACACACACACACACACGAGTTGTCTGTATGTGCATGAGTTAATTTCCCGGTTTTCTATTCTGTTCCATTGGTCTATGTGTCTGTTTTTGTGCCAATACCATGCTGTTTTGGTTACTATAGCTTTGTTGTATAATTTGAATTCAGGTAGTGTGATACCTCCAGCTTTGTTGTTTTTGCTCAGGACCGCTTTAGCTATTTGGGGTCTTTTGTCATTCCATGCAAATTTTGAAATTTTATTTTCTGTTTATGTGAAGAATGCCATTGATATTTTAATAGAGATTGTATTGAATCTGAAGATCACTTTGGATATTATGGGCATTTTAACAATATTAATTATTCTGACCTATGAGCATGGGATATCTTTCTATTTTTTAGTGTCCTCTTCAGTTTCTTTCATTAGCATTTTATAGTTTTCCTTGTGGAGATCTTTTACTTCTTCTAATTAATTTATTCCTAGGGTTTTTTTTATGTGGCTATTGTAAAGGAGATTGCTTTCTTGGTTTCTTTTTCAGATAGATTATTGTTAGCATATAGAAATACTACTGATTTTTGTATGTTGATTTTGTATCCTGTAATTTTACTAACTTTGTTGATTAGTTCTCAGAATTTTTTAGTGTGGTAGGTTTTTCTAAATATAAGCTCATGTCATGTGTGTACAAGGCTAATTTGACTTCTTCCTTTCCAATTTGGATACCCTTTATTTCTTTCTCTTGCCTAATTGCTCTAGCTGGGATTTCCAGTACTATGTTGAATAACAGTGGTGAAAGTGGCATCATTATCTTGTTTCAGACCTTAGTGGAAAGGCTTTCACTTTTTCCCCATTCCATATGATATTAGCTATGTGCTTGTCACGTGTGGCCTTTATTACATTGAGGTATGTTCTTTCTATATCCAATTTCTTGAGACTTTTATCATGAAGTGATGTTGAATTTTATAAAATGCTGTTTCACCATCTACTGAAATGATCATATGGCTCTTTTGATTCTGTTGATGGGATGTATCACATTTAATGATTTGTATATGTTGAACTATCCTTGCGTCTGGGGATGAATCCCATTTGATCATGGTGAATGATCTTTTTTTTTGAGATAGAGTCTCACCCTGTTGCCCAGGCTGGAGTGCAGTGGCACGATCTTGGCTCACTGCAGCCTCCACCTCCTGGGTTCAAGTGATCCTTATGCCTCGGCCTCCTGAGTAGCTAGGATTACAGGCATGTGCCATCACCCTGACTAATTTTTGTATTTTTAGTAGAGACAGGGTTTTGCCATGTTGGCCAGGCTGGTCTTGAACTCCAGGTCTCAAGTCATCCACCTGCCTTAGTCTCTTGGTCTCCCAAAGTGCTGGGATTACAGGCGTGAGCCACTGTGCCTGGCCACAGGCTACTTCTTGCCTCGTAGAATGAGTTTGGAAGTATTCCCTCTTCAACTTTTTAGAATAATTTGAGTAGAATTTGAATAATTCTTCTTTAAATATTTGGTAGAATTCAGCAGTAAAACCATCAGGTCATATGCTTTTCTTTAAAGAGAGATGTTTAATTTCTGCTTTCATCTCATTACTCATAGTTGGCCTGTTTATGTTTTCTGATTCTTTATGATTCAATTTTAGTAAGTTGTATGTGTCAAATAATTTATCTTTTTAGTTTTCCAATTTATTGGTGTGTAGTTTTCCATAATAGCCTCTAATGATCCAGGCCAGATGTGGTGGCTCATGCCTGTAATCTTAGCACTTTGGGAGGCTGAGGCGGGTGGATCACCTGAGGTCGGGAGTTTAAGACCAGCCTGACCAACATGGAGAAACCTTGTCTCTACTAAAAATACAAAATTAGCTGGGCGTGGTGGCACATGCCTGTAATCCTAGCTACCTGGGAGGCTGAGGCAGGAGAATCGCTTGAACCCGGGAGGTGGAGGTTGCAGTGAGCTGAGATCGCACCATTGCACTCCAGCCTGGGCAACAAGAGCAAAACTCTGTCTCAGGGGGAAAAAAAAGTCTCTAACGATTCTTTGTATTTCTGCAGTATCAGTTGTAATGTGTCCTTTTTCATCCCTGATTTTATTTATTTGGTCTTCGTTTTTTCTTGGCTGGTCTAGCTAAAGGTTTGCCAATTTTGTTATCTTTACAAAAAACAACTTTTTGTTTTGTTTATCTTTTGTATTATAATTTTTTTTTCTTCCTCCCACCACTTTTCTTTTTTTTTTTTTTGAGACAAGGTCTGGCTCTATCACCCAGGCTGGAGTGCAGTGGTGCCATCTCGGCTCATGCAACCTCTGTCTCCCAGCTGAGGCCATCATCCTACCTTAACCTCTCAAGTAACTGGGACTACAGGCATGCACCACCATGCCTTGCCAATTTTGTATTTTAAGTAGAGGTGGAGTTTCGCCATGTTGTCCAGGCTGGTCTTGAACTTGTGAACTCAAGCAATCTGCCTGTTTTGGCCTCCCAAAGTGCCGGGATTACAGGCATGAGCCACTGGACCTGACCTTTTGTATTATTATTATTTTTTGAGGTAGAATTTTGCTCTTGTTGCCCAGGCTAGAGTGCAATGGCATGATATTGGCTTACTGCAATGTCTACCTCCTGGGTTCAAGTGATTCTCCTGCCTCAGCCTCCCAAGTAGCTTGGATTATAGGTGTGCACCACCACACCTGGCTAATTTTGTATTTTTAGTAGAGATGGGGTTTCACCATGTTGGCCAGGCTGGTCTCAAATTCCTGACCTCAGGTGATCCACCCACCTCGGCCTCCCAAAGTGCTGGGATTACAGGTGTGAGCCATCGGGCCAGGCCATCTTTTGTATTTTTTTAATAGACAAGTTTTGCTATGTTGCCCAGGCTGGTCTCAAACTCCTGGCCTCAAGTGATCCTCCTGCCTTGGCCCCCTAAAGTTCTGGGATTATAGGCGTGAGCCACTACGCCTACTCTTTGGGGCTTTTTAAACCAGAAATCAGAATCTTCTTAAGCCACTTTTAATTTCTGTCCCATATGTAATAGGATCTTTTCCTTTCAGTTTCTCCAGTGGTCAAATATGACTCAGGGGAAGAAGCCAAAGTCAGAACCAAAATCTTTTCATTCTGTCTTTGGTTTGTACTCTGAGATATTGGTTTATATTTTTACCTTTGTTACTCTTCTATCAGTGACTTTCTCCTCAAAATATCTCACTTGAATTTAATGTGAAACCCACTTGGGTTTCTTGTGGATTTGTGTCCTGTATTAGTCCTTGGGTATGTGGTTTTCTATGAAGGTGTGCAATGTACATATATCTTTCTGCCTTTTTACTAATCTTTGTGGATACTTGTAAAATATTCCTTCAGCACTACAGACAGTACACACATACCCTTTTCTTAGATGAAAATTTAGGATTGATTGAGAAGGAAACTTGGGCAATTACTCAAGTGGCCAGAAGAAATCTGAAAACTTGAGGCTAGAATGAACTTTGGGTCATTGTTGTCGGTAATTCTTTGTCTCCAGAGAATATTTTACTTACATTAATTCTTTGGACTATAGTTTTGAAAGACTTAAAAAATTGTACTTGAATCTTGTTTATGTAACACTGTTTTTTTATGGTAATCAGAGGAAAGAAAATCTTCAGAATCCATGAATAGGCACCATGACATTCAGGCCCAAGAACAAAGTTTTATCTGGACATGGCAAGGTCTGAGATTCTAGACTTTGCCTTAATACCTAGAAGCTAACAGAACATTCTTGTTTCCTTTGTCTCTTTTTTTGCACAGGAGTAACTCCTGGGAGCAGAACTAAGTGACATCTTCAACACGTACTTTTTGCTAATTCCCATGATTTCTCCTAGGATATGCCCATAATTCAGGATCAGGGGTTACCAGTGTTGAGATCGAGCTAGAATACCCACAAGTGGCTTCACTCTGAGCTACAGTCTATTATACTGTTTATGGCCCTTAGAACACTGGCATAGGCTATTCATATCAATAGATTCATTTGTGAGGCTTAGTCTTTGACAAGAATATGAATAAGACAGAAAAGAGGGGAGTGGCCCTTCGTACTCTGAGAGTAGAGGTTCACTTTGGTTCAAGACTCGTAGCTCTCAGCTGTAAAGTCACAATTTCTATATGGCTGGTACCTGGGGCACTGAAGATATTTCCCTAGAATATGATCATTTTTGTCGGTTGAATGCCCTTTGATTTGGAGCAGATGAAAGAATTTAATAATGATTATCTTGGTGCCACCTACATGCAAATCCCACTGAGGTCAGCGACAAAATACAGAAAGAAATTCAGTTTTGGCAAGTCATGCCCAGGAGATATCAATAATGATTGCCTTTACATACACTGATGCATTACATGGATAGGTTGGTCCCTGCAGAGAGGTCATTTGCAGTATATGTTGGAAGAATCTAGAATGGGAGAGATGAATAAATACAGACCAGAGCTGACATACAGAAAATTCTCAGTTAAGGTTTTATATATCTAATTAGTATGAAAGGTAAACCTGGGCAAGGAAATTAGAAAGAATTCAGAATTCAAAATTTTTAAAGAAATAATCCAATTTATCTTCTCAGAATAACGTTGGCATGATTTTTCATAGAGCATACTCTTTTTTCCTTGTTTCCTCCTTCTGTCGTATTAAGGCCCTATCGACTTCGGTCCCTGTTAATAAATAAATAAATTTAGTGATTATTATGGTCATTGGTATCAATAAAGACCCAAACAATGGGTCCTTAACATCTCAGCAGAACTTCACAGCTCTCTTTAATACTAATGTTCCTCCTGACCCATGCATCTATACATAAAATATTAACGAGCAAACATAGTACTAGACTTTGAGAATATGCAGATGAAGGAAGTGATATCTCTGCTCTTGCATGTAAGACCATTGTTTAGCTATTCTTTATAGTGGATACCGAATCATGATCCTTGTCTTCTCCCACTCTTCTGACATTCTCATAGCTTTTCATTTAACTGTGAAACAATAAAATGTTGAACACAATCTCAAAGAGCTGATGCCATCATGGTAGTATTGAGATGCTGGTGGGGGAGCTAGGAGCTCTGGATCCATGTCCTTCTTCTGAGTGAATCTGGCCAAGTCAGTAGCCTCTCTGAGCTTTATTTTTGTTTTTATTTTTTTGAGATGGAGTCTCCCGCTCTTTGTGGCCCAGGCTGACTGCAGGTGGGCATGATCTTTGGCTCACTGCAACCTCTCTCCCCGAGTTCAGTGATTCTCCGCTGCCTCAGCCTCCTGAACTGGCGTCGCCGAACAGCCCCACAACCACCTGGAATTTATGTAATTTTTTACGTACGAGACCAGGGTTTCACCGTGTTAGCCCAGGAGGTCTCGATCCTCCTGACCTGTCATGATCTGCCTGCCTCTGCCTCCCAAGTGCTGGGCATTCACAAGGCATGAGCCACCACGCCTGGCTATCTCTCCTCTCTCTCTGTCTCTCTCGTCTGTCTCCTCCTCCTCTCTCTCATCTCTCTCTATATACGTAGTATTATATAAATAGCGGGGTTCTTTTTTTGTTCTTTTTAAATGGAAGTCTTGCTGTATTGCCTAGGCTGGTCTTGAATGTTGGGTTCAAGTGATCTTCCTGCCTCAGCTTCCCAAGTAGCTGGGATTACAGATGCACACCACTGTGCTTGGCTGGACTTCAATTTTCACAATTTCAAGAGCGTTATTAAATTAAATGACCTGAGAAACTTATGCCTATGACTGATTATAGTGACATTTAAGTGACCTGAGAAATTAATGCCTATGACATAATGATTAAAAAATAATTTTTAATAATTTTTATTACCCCAACTGAGGTATAATTTCTTGCCTCCCTGCTCATTGCCCTAGGCTTTTATTTGCTTTTTCCTTAAAAAAGCTTTGATCCCTAGTGTTTGGTGTCATTGAGGGTTGGGTAAGACATCCAGAGACTTACTTTTCAGTAATACAAAATTTTTCACAGATATATTTCTGTTTAAAGTTGTTTCTGTTGCCTCCACAGCCACTGAAGACAAAGGGCTCACATAAAAATGTCAAAGTGTTGTAGTAGAATCTGGTCAAATGTATTTTACAGGTGCCCTTCATTGGAGGATAGTTGCAGTATTCTGTGAATGAGAATTCCAGAGTCAGGTTTTCTTTACTACCTTTTTGACATTCTTGTTCTCACAGGCTCAGACTACTAAAACTTTCAACCCACATAAATCTAACTAATTTTACCTCCGGGGAACAAGACAGAGTTCCCTAAGCATATGGGGAAATTATTCCAGACTACAGACTGGGTCCATGAAGCAGAGAGAAATAGAGAAGGACAATGAGGTACTTATACTACTTTAGAGCTGAAAACAAGAAAGACCTGAGGTTTCCTTCATCCTTCCCAGTAAACATATCCATTTCCTGACTCTCCACATGCTTCCCATGTCACTGGAAGTGAACAAATCATTGGCTTCCTCAACGACACAGTTCAGAGCCCTTACTTTTGCTTTCTCCTCCCCGCCCGCCAGAGTCTGTGCAAATACACAAGCTGAAAAGACCTCTCACCCACTACACCTACCCTGAAGGACAGGTTTCAAATGTCCACTCCGGCAGATCTTCCTTTCCTCCGTCAGTCTGTTTCCTCTCCTATCCAGCCCCACTTTTGCCTACTCATCCAGACTCACCTGGTTTTTCTGAGACCATGGAGATTAAGTGGTCAGAGCAGAAGCCATGATAACCGAGTGGGAGACAGAGAAAGAGTTAATGTTAGTCTTCTTGAAGCCCAACGGCAATTCCTTTTTTCTTTTTCTTTTTTAATTGAGATGGAGCCTCACTGTGTCGCCCAGGAGGGAGTGTAGTGGCGCTATCTCGGCTCTCGTTGCAACCTCTGCTGCCCGGGTTCAAGTGATTCTCGTGCCTCAGCCTCCTGAGTAGCTGGGACTACAGGTGTGCACCACCACGCCTTGCTAATTTTTGTATTTTTAGTACCCACGCGGTTTCGCCATGTTGGCCAGGCTGTTCTCGAACTCCTGACCTCAGGTGATCCACCTGCCTTGGCCTCCCAAAGTGCTGGGATTACAAGGGTGAGCCACTGCGCCTGGCCACCCAATTGCAATTCTCATCCATGATTGGGAACTGCCCCTTTTGCCTTGAGTGTTTCATAGATGCTCATATGAATTTGAATGAAGAACAAATTAATTTAAATAAGTAGGGTGGGAGTGCGCTATACATATATGGGAGAATGATGGCCTCTGCATATCTGTATCAGTGGAATATAATGTAGTGGTTCTACACATATGTGTTGAATAGACTTAAAACTCATCTAATGCACAGACACACACCCCAACAAAGGAATTTCTTGGACTCCTCTGAAATCAATCCCATTTTCATAACCCCTACTCTTATACTGAAATCTCATGGATAAAACTTAAGTTGATTCTACCTTCTGTCTTCCTCCTTCTCCACTCCATAGAGGAAACTCAATGTAATTCTCTGAATCAGATGTCCTAGAGCCATATGGTTTGAGATAAAAAGGGGACTTGATTCTAATTACTGGCAGCAACATCACCCAGGCTGCCCAGACCTCCCTCTCCTACACAGTGTCACACTGGTCTGCCCTTTCTGTTTTTCTTTACCTCCAAGATGTCCACTTTCACATAACTGTTTTCTGAGTTGTAGAGGAAATATGTCCCCTGAAGGTGTGTGGAGAAGCATGGACAAGATGAGGAGCCATAGAGAAAAGTGAGCCCATTCAGGCTTCATGGTGTTGCAGACAGCAGATAGAAGAATCCTGGACTTGGCTGAAATTATATCTGAAGGGTTGGCTCTCCTTCTCATGTGAGAAGTTGAATTCATATCTCTGATTTTTATCTTCCCAGGGCTTAAGCCTGGGCAGGGTTCTGGTGCATCCAGAATCAGCCTTGTGAGCAGGACAGTAAGTTCTTGGGTACCCAGCCATGCAGCTTGAAAGACCATGCCTTGTCAGAGCCCTACTGATTAACCTCAGCCTTCCCGCCTTCTTTCCTCCACATCTAGGGATCATGACCACTTATCGCTCAGGACATCAACATCTCTATAATGAACAGTTGTAAATAAATTCTTACCAATGCTTTAATATATACATGTGAATACCTGAAAGCAAATTAACTAAGGCTTGAACCTAAGAAACTGGAACAAAACAGCAAAGTAAGTAAAGGGAAAGTAGACAGAGGATAATTGAAGAAAGTAGTTGAAATTAGTGAATTAGAAAAAAAGAAACCCTAAAATTGCCAAATAAAACTAAAAGTCTGTACTTTAAAAATATCATTAAAATAGACAAAACTGCCAAGAATGACTGGAAAAAACATAGAAGAAATAAACACATTCAGTAATAGAAATGTGAAATGGATAGAACTCAAACATAGAGGAGAGAAAAAATTTACCAGGAAATAGTCTTGCTCCTGATCTTAAAGGAAAACTTTTAAATTTCTCCCATTAAGTTTGATGTTATCTCTGGGTTTTTCATAAATGTGCTTTTTTAGGTTGAGGAAGTTCCCTTCTATTCTTAATTTGAGGAGTGTTTTTATCATAAAAGGGTGACAGATCTTTGTCAATTTTTTTTTCTGTGTCTATTGAGTTGATTATGTTGGTTATGTCCTTTGCTGTGTTAAAGTGGTATATTACATTGGTTTCTGCATGCTTGAATAACCTTGCATTCTTGGGACAAATTCCATTGGATTTGATTATGGTGTGTAATCTTTTTTTTATATGTGGCTGAATCTTTTTACTAATAGTTTTTGAGAATTTTTGTGCCTATATTCATAGGGACTATTGATCTGTAGTTTTCTTTTTTTATGATATCTTTGTCTGTAGTACTGGCCTCACAGAATGAGTTGGAAAGTATTCCATCCTCTTCTATATTTTGGAAGAGTTTGTAAATTATTAGAGTTAATTCTCTAAAAGTTTAGTAGAGTTCTCCATTGAAATCATCTGAGCTTGGGCTTTCCTTTGTGGAATATTTTTTGATTAGTGATTTGGTGTCTACTCTTTATAGATCTATTCACATTTCCCATTTATTTTAAGTCAGTTTTGGTAGTTGTTGTCTTTTTAAGAATTTGTTCATTTCATCTAAGTTATCTAATTTTTTAGCATACAGATATTCCCAGGATTCCTTTACAATCATTTTAATTTCTGGATGTGTTTGCTTCCACCAAGAGCGTGCGCCTTGTCCAGCTCGAGTACGGCTGTAGGTATCCCTGGGCAGCGACCCCTCCTGGCTCAGTGTGAGGACAGGAATCTGCTAAGGCTCTGTAGCCAACTTGCTAGGCCTTGGTCTGTCCAGCACTAGTTTAAGAGTGGGAGAATCTAGCTTCAAACTGCACCTCTGCTTGTGACCTTGCACAAGCCTCTACCTGGCTTTGGGCCTTGGTACCCATCTTGGCTGATTGATTAAGATGCCCTACAAGTTTCCTTTTAGTTTTGACAATGTTTCCTGTATTCACCTAGGACAGGGATTCTAAACTGATTTTAGATATTAGGGGCCTCTTTGAGAATTGTTTGCCCTTTTCTTAGAAACACGCTTCACTGGGTGCCGTGGCTCACACCTGTAATCCCAGCACCTTGGGAGGTGGAGGCAGGCAGATCACTTGAGGCCAGGAGTTCAAGACCCACCTGGCCAACATGGTGAAACCCTGTCTCTACTAAAAATACAAAAATTAGCTGGGCATGGTGGTGTGTGCCTGTAATCCTGGCTACTTGGGAGGCTGAGGCAGGAGAATCGTTGGAACCTGGGAGACGGAGGCTGGCCACTGTACTCCGGCCTAGGTGACAGAGTGAGACTCCATCTCAAAAAAAAAAAAAAAAAAAAAAAAAAAATTACAATACTGTGAATAGCCACAACTGTGAAGTTAGGAAAGCCCAGTTGAAGCAAGAGATGGGTAGTACTTCATCTAGCCAAAGAGTTTGAAGTGGTTCTGGAAACTTTGGTGGTGGTCTTGGAGGTGGCTTTAGTGGGAATGACAACTTTGGTCATGGAGGAAACTTCAGTGGTTGTGGTGGCTTTGGTGGCAGGCATGGTGGTGGTGGATATGGTGGCAAAGGGGATGGCTATAATGGATTTGGTAATGACGGAAGCAATTTTGGAGGTAGTGGAAGCTACAATGATTTTGGCAATTACAACAGTCAGTCTTCAAATTTTGGATTCATGAAGGGAGGCAACTTTGGAGGCAGAAGCTCTGACCCCTATGGTGGTGGAGGCCAATACTTTGCCAAACCACAAAACCAAGGTGGCCATGGTGGTTCCAGTAGCAGTAGTAGCTATGGCCGTGGCAGAAGATTTTAATTACTTCTAGTAAACAAAGCTTAGCAGGAGAGTAGAGCCAGAGAAGTGACAGGGAAGCCACAGGTTACAACAAATCTGTGAATGTAGCCAAGCACAGTGGTGGCAGGGCCTAGCTGCTACAAAGAAGACATGCTTTAGACAAATATTCATGTGTATGGGCAAAAAACTCGAGGACTGTGTTTGTGACTAATTGAATAACATGTTTTTTTAGTTTCTGTTCTGTGGAAAGTATAAAGCATTCCAACAAAGGGCTTTAATGTAGATTTTTTTTTTTGTTGCACCTGTGCTGTTGATTGCTAAATGTCTGACCATGTGCTGAATAAATCTGTCTTTTCTTTTTTTAAAATGTACTTCTAGTTATAATTTTTGTCTTAAAATCTATGTATTATGGTACTCCAGAGGAACAGAACCAATGAAACAAAACCAATGTTAGAGAATTGGCTTGTGTGATTGTAGGGATGGACAAATTTGAAATTTGCAGGGCACGCTCGCAGGCTGGAGATTCAGGAAAGAGGTGATGTTGCAGTTTTGAGTTCAAAGGCAGTCTGGAGTCAGAATGCCTCCTTCCTCTGTGGGACCTCAGTCTGTTTCCTCTTAAGGCTTTCAACTGATTGGATGAGGCCCACCTGCATCATGAAAGGTAATCTCTTTTACTCAAAGTCTACAAATTTAAATATCAATCATATATGTGTGTGTGTGTATGTGTGTGTGTATATATATATGTATATATATATATATTTTTTTTTTGAGGCAGAGTCTCACTCTGTTGCCAAGGCTGGAGTGCAATGGTGCTATCTTGGCTCACTTCAACCTCTGCTGCCTGTATTCAAGCAATTCTCCTGCCTCAGTCTCCCAAGTAGCTAGGATTACAAGCACCCACTACCACGACTGGCTAATTTTTTTTTTGTATTTTTAGTAGAGATGGGGTTTCACCATGTTGGCCAGGCTGGTCTTGAACTCCTGATCTCAGCTGATCTGCCCACCTTGGTCTCCCAAAGTGCTGGGATTACAGGCGTGAGCCACCGCCTTCCACAATGGTTGAGCTAATTGAATTCCCACCAACAGTGTAAAAGCGTTCTTATTTCTCTGCAACCTCTTCAGCATCACCATTCCGACTAGCATGAGATGGTATCTCACTGTGGTTTTGATTTGCATTTCTCTAATGATCGGTGATGTTGAGCTTTTTTACATATGTGTGTTGGCTGCATATATATCTTCTTTTGAGAAGTGTCTGTTCATGTCCTTTGCCCACTTTTTAATGGGATTGTTTGTTCTTTTCTTGTAAGTTTGTTTAAGTTCTTTGTAGATTCCTGATATTAGACCTTTGTCAGATGGATTGCAAAAATGTACTCCATATTTGTAAGTTGCCTGTTCAGTCTGATGATAATTTCTTTTGCTGTGCAGAAGCTCTTTAGTTTAATTAGATCTCATTTGTCAATTTTTGCTTTTGTTGCAATTGCTTTTTTTTTTTTTTTAATTTTTTTTTTTTTTTTTTTAATTTTTTTTTTTTTTTTTTTTTGGTTGCAATTGCTTTTGGCAATTTCGCCATGAAATCTTTGCCCATGGCTATGTCCTGAATGGTATTGCCTAGATTTTCTTCTAGGGTTTTTATAGTTTTGGATTTTACATTTAAGTCTTTAATACATCTTGAGTTAATTCTTGTATGACGTGTAGGGAAAGAGTCCAGTGTCAATTGTCTGCATATGGGTAGCCAATTCTCCCAGCACCATTTATTAAATAGGGAATCCTTCTCTCATTGCTTTTTTTTTGTCAGGTTTGTCAAAGATCAGATGGTTGTAGTTATGTGGTCTTATTTCTGATTTCTCTATTCTGTTCCATTGTTCTATGTGTCTGTTCTTATACCAGTGCCATGCTGTTTTGGTTATTGTACCCTTGTTGTATAGTTTGAAGTCTGGTAACATGATGCCTCCAGCTTTGTTCTTTTTGCATAGGATTTCTTTGGCTATTCGGACTCTTCTTTGGTTCCATATGAATTTTAAAATAGTTTTTTTTCTAATTTTATGAAGAACATCAATAGTAGTTTAATGGGAATAGCATTGAATCTATAAATTACTCTGGGCAATATGACCATTTTCACAATATTGATTCTTTCCATCCATGAGCATGGAATGTTTGTCCATTTTTTGTGTCCTGTCTGATTTCCTTGAGCAGTGGTTTGTGCTAGGAATCCAGGCTTGAACCACCGAGCCTGTCCTCCTTCTTATGCTTTTGCACTTTAATAGCTTAGCTCCCCAAAGCCTAGTTCTTTTTTTTTTTTTTTGAGATGGAGTCTTGCTCTGTCGCCCAAGCTGGAGTGCAGTGGCCAGATCTCAGCTCACTGCAAGCTCCGCCTCCCGGGTTTATGCCATTCTCCTGCCTCAGCCTCCCCAGTAGCTGGGACTACAGGCGCCTGCCACCTCGCCCGGCTAGTTTTTTGTACTTTTTAGTAGAGATGGGGTTTCACCGTGTTAGCCAGGATGG